TTCCCTTCCCTTCCCTTCCCTTCCCTTCCCTTCCCTTCCCTTCCCTTCCCTTCCCACAGTAACTTATCCTTTTCTCTAAAAATACAACAAAAATCCCTTCTTCCCATATTTTATCTTATATCTATAAGCAAACCTATAAAAGCTTGTTGTTCAAACTTAATAAAACAATTCCATTACGAGCTACCAGAAAATCTTAATCTTTAAACCCTTCAAATAACATCCCATAAATTAATTTCTTATCATTTTCTCTTCATCTCCTCTAAGAAATTCCTTTGCAAATTTAATACTTTCTTTCAACATCATAACCCATCACTTTCTCTAATCATATAACAAAAAATCTCTTCTCCCCGTATCTTACCGAACAGCAAATCTTTAAAGCCTCATCATTCAGTCCTGGTCAAGAAAAATCCATTAAAAACTACTAGACAAAAAAACATCATATAATTTAGCCTTGATCAAACAAACTGACTTTGTAATCCTTCTTTCTGGTTTCAAAAGCCTTGATGTTTATTCCTTTTAAGTAATATCCCAAAAGCTGATTTCTTTTCATTCTCTATCTTTTCTCAGAAACTCCTTCATAAGTGTAACACATCTCTTTTGTAATCCAAAATAAGAAAGTTGTCCAAGTCACTCTTCTAGGTTGAAATCTACATATCTCTTTTCATTCTCTATCTTTTCTCAGAAACTCCTTCATAAGTGTAACACATCTCTTTTGTAATCCAAAATAAGAAAGTTGTCCAAGTCACTCTTCTAGGTTGAAATCTACATATCCAAGTCACTCTTCCGATTTATTATTTGTATGTCCCTTTTAGCTCTTAAAACATCAGCCCGTTTCATTTGTAAGTCCTGTGTAGCATCTTCGTCAATATCATTCTTGCATTCTATCATTTTTAAATCCATATACAAAACAGCCTGATTCTCAGTTGTATCCTCTTCTATCTCTTTAAAACCCATTTTTATAGTATCAGACAATCTTAAGAGAAAGCTCTGAGTCCGTTGTTGCCAAATATCCTTGAAATCTTCCAGAGTTAAAATACTTTTCTCCATTCTATATTAGTGGGTCTTCTCCTTTAACTGTAATCTTTAGTTCTTTCTGGTTGCCTCTAGTAACCAGCCTTCAAGGTCTCCACTTTTATCATGTTTTTCTCTAATCCATACCATTTTCCCATGGAAAGATTTCTTACACTTAACTTCAAGATCTTCATATATATTTTAATAGGATTTTAAACAAACCACAGGATGGATTCTTATAGTTCATTTCAAAATCTTATTTCCAGTCAATCAAGCCCCTTAGTCCATTTATAACTTTCCAAAATCAATGTTATAATCATCCTTTTGCTGCTTATTTCTAAATAATTTTTTTCTTTAAGTTCTTAAACTTACGTGAAACTTCTTTAGTTGAGGATTGAAGGAATCACCCAATGAAATAAAACTTGTCTTTCTGAAGGTTCTTAGTATCCAAAAAGCAATTTACAAGCCATTTTCAGAAGTGATTAAGAAAGGAAGTGGGCAAACCCAGTGTCTTTTTGAAGCCTTCGAACCACGGCTTGGGCAAGCTGACTCTCCCAGCTCTCAGATCTCTAAAACCCACCAGAGACCACTGTTTTATGGTCTTGTCACAGGGAGCCTGGGTAAGGAGCCCTATGGGTGATCCTAAGTCTTCCCCTTTGTCTAGGGAGGAATTTCGAGGCACCAATCCGTTCGTCAGCTCCTCATTCTGCCGCAGTTGTTGGCTCCGCTGAAAGTGAAGTCATCTTCAGTTTGCCATTGCTTCCCCAGAAGTCCCATGGAGGCATAAGCTCACCCAGAAAGAGCTGAAAGAGGAAGAGAAGAAATGCAACAAGGGATGCAG